TAAATGCTTATTAACAGCGTATTAAATGGCATTTAATTGGCAATTAATTACACCGTTTTCGACGTCTTGGGAAGCATCGTTTTCAAGAATTGACCAGCTTTACATACATAATGAAGTTTCGTCTCTTCATGCAACTTATGAACAACGCTAATTTATCTTGAAGTAATTGTTCTTCAACCTCTTTGCACTACATCAAGTTATACAGTAGGACACTTAAGGGTGTAAAAATAAAAATACGTTGTGTTTTCTTACATGATCAGCGATAGCGTAGGACATCTGAATGAGTAGAGGCGATACCGCTGTCTATAACGTTACATCCTGTTATGGTTTTCAAACATCTATTGAACATTGACTGTAAAATGTGTTCTACTTTTTTGTTCTTGACTAATATTTTCCTTAAAATCTATTCTGAGCGTATTAGAAGAAGAAATCTAACCTAAAACTAAGAATTATTTTTGCAGAGGTCGATAGACCATATTTCCGAAAATGGTTGAGAGTGAGAGTAAATTATTTTGTTTTTAGCATGAATATGGAAAAGCATATTTTTGTTTTAGCCAAATTATTAATAATAAGTGTAGATTAAATACAAAATAGTCTGAATGTTTATTTAAACAGCTCCAGTGATGAAACAAAACTTTATACCCAAATTTAGCTTTTATTTATTGCTATCAACCACCATCATTTTTTGTTAGTAAAATTATTCAGTTTCAAAAATGGTGGTGTTCAATGGTTCAATGCGTTTAAAAGTTCTTGAAGCAGATAATCTTCGTGCCACTGGTCATTCGACACGCTATTTTCCTCAAAATACAGCTGTTGCTTATATATCACCCTATGTATCGATTGATATTGATGACTTACCAATGGGACGAACACAAACAAAACAAAAATCAACCACGCCATCATTTAATGAAGAATTCACGAGTGACGTTCATAATGGTCAACAATTGCATTTAACCGTATTTCATGATGCTGCATTACCGCCCGATGAATTTGTTGCTGATTGTACAATCAAATTTGACAATATCCATGATAAAAAAAGTGATATTTGGGTAAGTAAAGAATTCGGCTTTAGGTAATTAGAAGTGGTATGTAGCGGGAAGAGGAGCAGTTGTGTAAGAGATCAAAGTTCAACGGAACTGTTATTGATAAGACTGATTTAAAGATCAGTAGAGCGTATAGTTTTTTACTTCTCTGAAAAGTTTTATGTTATTATTGCTACGGTAGACGGTGTTTGAAGTGACGCATTTTTTTCTTTTTGTAATATTTAGGTCGATCTTGAACCAGCAGGAAGAATTCATGTTTCTATTGAACTTCAAGGACAATTTAGTGATTGTAAGTATTTCGTTTATGAAAACATAGGTTTTAAATACATATTCATGGTGTATTAGCTGCGCGAAACCGATGCTTAAATCATTTATTGTTGAATTGTTTTAGCTCCAATAACAAATGAACGACATTTCAAGCAAAATAAAAAGGCATTTGCGCAGCGTCGTTTCGCTGTTGTACGACGTGTCTATGAAATAAATGGACATAAGTTTATGGCGACGTTTTTTCGACAGCCGACTTTTTGCTCAATTTGTTCTGAATTTATTTGGTAAGTAGGATCTTTTGGATTATCTTTATTTGTATTCTACACATTAATAATGGCCACTTTCATAAATACCAGTGATCGATGTAGATAGGAATTCTTTTGTTTTCTTATTTCTGTTGCTTATTCGCGAGGCCGTTTTGTTTAGGGGTATCTTTCGTACACAAGGTTACCAGTGTCAAGGTAAGATATTTTCACTGTGTTGTCCGTCCATATGTGTAACCACATACGTCCTGACAGGCACACTTCTCGTTCAAATCTAAATCATAGCATTCAACTAATTCAACATTCTCCACTGTTTTTGTGACGAAATCCATGGATTTCTAAGGAAAAAACAGCAAGCTGAATTAATTAAGAGGTTTAAATAGACCAGTATCGAAAGTTATGATGCAGATGTGAATAGAGGGTTGTTTCCTGTGTATCTGTTTGTATTTCTACCCCGAAACCCTTTGCTTGTGCTTGGTTTTTTGTATGCCCAGAAAATGAAAGAGTAAAAACTTTTAGTCTACACCAGTTCGAATCAAAGACATCACTTGCGCTCATTTGCACTACCAATCGGTCGCCTATTATCAATTATTCATCTATTAGAATCAGTATCAATCGATTTCTTCATTCCTGTTGCTTTCCTGCAATCGAGACGATCCTTCCTACTGATAAAAGAAAGGAAATTTTTTCAGAGATCTAAACTGAAATTTTGATCGATCAATATCGACTATCGCTTTTCCCCTAGTTTTTGTATCATTTATTGTCATTTGCGTGTGTGTACGTTTGAATCCCTTGATTCAAGCATGAACATTTGGTTTCACAGTGTCTATTCAGAAAGGATTGTGGTTGAATTAAATTTGTAGTTGTGTTTCTTTTGCTTGGTGTGGTTTATAAACATATGTTAACTTTGTTATCGTAAACAGATCTTATTTTTTTAGTTTGCACATGTGTAATACACAAAAGATGTAAAGCATGCGTAGTAACAACTTGTCCAGGAATTCGAACGTGTTTCGAAGTAAGTTTTGGCGCTAACCTAAACTTTCATTAGAGATAATATGACAATTTTTATTCTAGTATCGTGACAAACGTTTTAAAATCAATGTTCCTCATCGATTTTTTAGCCATACATATAGATTATTTACTTTTTGTGATCATTGTGGTTCACTTCTGTGGGGAGCATGGCAACAGGGCATGCAATGTAAAGGTGAGAAGATCGTTTTTAAGATGAACATGTTCAGTTAAATTAAATGAAACAAATGTTGTTTAGAATGTAAACTTAATGTTCATAAACGTTGTACAAGAAATGTGGCCAATGATTGTGGACTTGATAAAAAGAAGTTAGCAGAAGTTCTGAGTGAACTCAATATCAATACTGAACCACAGAAAATGATTGTAAGAGATACACTAGAAGTAATTAGAACTTTTTTTAAGCAATACGTTTTTAGGGAGCTGGAGAAAGTGAACGTGAGGTAAAAAAACCATATAGTCCAAGTGCGAGCGTTACACAGCCATCATCAAGTACATCAACACCAGGTAAATTGTTGATGCTTGAGTGAGCGCGAAGTCTAAATTTGATATATATCGTCCTTTTTCAGACACTGCTTCAAGTAATAAACAACGTATGTGTATAGAAGAATTTAATTTTATTAAAGTGCTTGGAAAAGGAAGTTTTGGAAAGGTAATAATGAGCTAGTCTTTAACTTTACTCTCTACTATTGTGTTCTACTCTGAACAGGTAATGTTAGGTGACTTAAAAGCGACTGGTGAAGTATTTGCTATCAAAGTATTGAATAAAGATGCTATTATTCAAAATGACGATGTTGAATGTACAATGACAGAAAGACGTATATTAGCATTATCAGCAAGACATCCATTTTTAACGGCATTATTTTGTAGTTTTCAAACAAAGGTAATTAAATCTCATCGACTTCTTCTAAAATAAACATGAAATCTTTTGGTTTTAGGAACGAATGTTTCTTGTTATGGAGTATGTAAACGGTAAGTGATTGATTTTTTATAGACAGAAAAAGTATTAAACTATTTTTTGTCTTGAAGGTGGTGATTTGATGTTTCAAATTCAACGTTCGAGAAAATTTGATGAAGCACGTGCAAGATTTTACGCAGCTGAAGTGACATTAGCGCTAGTGTTTTTACATCGGCATGGTGTCATTTATCGGTAATCATCTTATGTTACTTTTTAAAAGAAACTTATGTTTTTATCTTGTTTGTATTTTCTTTGTTACTTAGTGATTTGAAATTGGATAACATTCTTCTCGATGCCGAAGGTCACTGTAAAATAGCTGAGTAAGTCTTAATAGTATATCATATTAATTAAATCGTAGAATTTCTTGTTCTCACGTGTTAGAGGCTGAAGTTATTTATGCTGTGTTTTTGGACTATGTAAAGCTTCAAACGTTATTAAAGATTTGTTCAATTTTTTCATCTAGTTTTGGTATGTGTAAGGAAGGCATATTTAATGGAAAATTAACGTCAACATTTTGTGGAACACCTGATTACATTGCACCAGAAATCTTACAAGAACTCGATTATTCGTTTTCTGTTGATTGGTGGGCGCTTGGTAAGTAAAGCTTGTTTTTTTTCCACTAGAAAAAAACGTACTAAATTCTTCATGTTGGAAATAGGTGTACTTATGTATGAAATGATGGCTGGTCAACCACCATTTGAAGCCGATGATGAAGACAGTTTATTTGAATCAATATTACGTGATGAAGTGCTTTATCCTGTATGGCTGTCAAAAGAAGCTGTTCATATTCTCAAATCGGTACGTTAGTAAAAGCATGAGTCTATTGAAATAAACTATTTATGTCGACAGACATTATGTAATCGTTCTGGGATTTTTTTTTTATATCGATAGATAGTGTTTTTGCTAGGATTTTTTTTTTGTTTAGTCAGTTTTTTTACAAAATGTGCACGACGTAGAAAAGTTTTGAAAAAGCGAGGACAAACATTGGAGATTGGTCAATCCACGTTCTTTTTTCAAACATAAGTCCAGATTCGGCGCCATAAGCTACACAAATAAAACTAAAATGTTTTTTGGACTTAGAAACTTTTCGTGTATTTATAAAAGTTGATTGTCCGGCGCCATTTGTTCTTGAGGCGAAATGTAAAATAAATATATCTGTATTGATTTTATTTACTCAATGTATATAAAAAATGCAATGCTCACAGGCTACTGGTAGGATCTACTTGAAGCGGTAGGTTTCGTCTGAGACATTTCCCTCGACATCGCAACTTGTGCGCAGCGCAATTGCATTCTAGTTTTCTATTGTTGTTCTGTTTAATTTAGTTTATGACAAAAAATCCGGCAAAACGACTGGGTTGTGTCGCTGCACAAGGTGGTGAAGATGCTATTAAACGTCATGCATTTTTTTCGGGAAAAATTGATTGGGAAGCACTTGAACATCGTCAAGTGAAACCACCATTTAAACCAAAAGTGGTATGTATGTTTTATTTGAGCTACATTAGCAGAAACTTTCAGATTGCTGTTCTTTATTTTAGCGAGATCCTCGGGATGTGAGCAATTTTGATAAAGATTTTACAAATATGGCTGTTGCATTTACACCAATTGAATCTGTTATTGTCAAAGCAATTAATCAAGACGAGTTTAAAGATTTTTCATTTATTAATACAAACTGGCGTTGTTTAGAGCGTGGAGAATTACCAGAAGATGATCATAATGATGGTCGTCGCGCAGTTCGTGATTTTGGCGCTGATTTACAACAACCATTGCCAATGACACCAATTCTCTCACATCAAGGAGCAGACGTTGCATCAACAATGACCGTTGTTAATACAAATCATATGCCAATTCCACATATAACTTCAACAAGTACTGCTTCAAATAATAATAATAATAATGATAATAATGATCATCCATCATTCACATCAACAAGTTATAATGCTCCTACACCGACACCATTTTCAATGCCAAATTCCATACCACAACAAATGCAATCGTCAAGTATTAGAACTCCAGCATCAGCTCCTGTACAAACACATATCCAACATACATTTTCCTCTTTTTCACCGCCATCAGCACAAATGAATATAACCTCGATAAACACAAACAACAACAATGATAAAACATCGACAAATTCATTAGAAAAAAATGATAAATTAGCAAACAAACAAGCAGATAAATCACTATCAATAGGTCGACACTTTAGTAATTCAAAAACTGATCAAACAGACATGTAAACATATTTTCCCGAAAATAGGAAACTGCCAAACAATTGTATTTGCGTTGTAGTCATTGACAGTAATATTTACAATATGCACGCAAGCCATAAACTCAGATCTCTCGTTATTTGTATTTCGCTCACTCTTTCGTCGTTGCTTTTCCTATATTGAGAAACATACCTCGTACATATCAGACACACTACACACACTAATATACTCATACAAAATAAGACGGATATTCTTGTTGTTTCTTTGTGTTGTTAAAACTACCTCAAATAAAAGCATTATCCTGCGTCTGTCCGTATGTTTATTTCTTTTTTCTTTTTCTTCATCTATATTAACTCTAGTCATACGCGTATTTTGTTTTTTTGCATCTATTTTTTGAGACAGCGTTTTTTGTTTGTTTGCTCGTTTGTTATTAACAATTTGCAAGCCATTCACTATTTTTATGTGTATATTCTCGATTAGAGTAGATTTCTCTCATTCTTTTTCACTGTATTTCTATTTTTTCTTTTTTCTAGTCTTAAATCGAGTTACGTTGTTAAAAGAGACTAATAACAATGTTGTTGCAACAGTAATATAGAGAGAAAAAACTAAAAAAACCGGTTTTTAAACCAAATTGCGGTGTGTTGGTGTTATTCCCTTCGTTTTTAAATTACTAGTCACGATTGAAATCTTTATTTTTGTTTTGTTCTGATATGGTTTTGGCTTTGTTTTGTTTCATTCACGAAAACTCAACAAGCATATAGTTTCTCAGAAAATCATATTCAATAGAATGGTCAAATAAAGAATAAAATATAATAATGAGTATAGAATTGATGCTGTATTTTCCTGGACAGCTTCACGGCTCTAAGAAGCATAGATACTCTATGAATGTGGCTTTTACCAATATTATTTGATGTTTTGTTTGGCATTTTCTTCACAATACTGTGCCAACGTTGCTTTGCTTGCTTGAATTCTTACACATTCAATTATATCTACCATTTCTCTGTTCTTTTGCGCATAATAGATGTAGAATAAATTCTTCTTCAATAAGACAAGTTTCAATATAGATATTTTTCTTGCTAAAAAAATTCTCCCTTTCTCTCCTGATATGTCTTCAATGGAAAAAAAAATGCTGTTGTTGTTTTTGTGTCATTATCGTTGTTTTATTCATTTTTTAATGTACACGCTATTTAAATTTAAATTGAATTTGTATACAAATTTTCCTCATTATATACACGTATACTTTCTTGTTTGTTCTTGTCTGTTTGTTTGTTTAAGTATTAATCTTCTCTCGATTCTTTTTTTTTATATTCTTGAACATTATTTTATTGTTTTATAGAGAATAAATTATTATAAATGTCATTATACAATCAGAGATTTGATTAACATCATCCAATGTAGTCGGACACCGAGTACGACAAGTGTAAGAACTGAAAGTGTCTATTTTAACAGTTCGCAACTTACAGTCAAAGAATGATATCTGAACTACAGACTATCAGTAATGTATTGTCTAGTGGATTAATTAAGAAGTATTTTACATTTTATTTTTGGCATTACATTTTCTCTTCTCAAGTAGTTCGAGCAGAGAATTACAAATAGTTATATAGTTACGAAATTTCGCTGCTGGTATAATGACCTTATTGAGTGACTTCTTTTTCTATTTCTGTCTATCAAATAATGGCATTAAAAACTTGAGAGAGATTCAGTTTTTTTTCTCAGTAAAATAAAGTTCAAGATTCTACAATAACAACAACAACTAAGACAAATGAAAGTAGCCGGAGTCTTTCTGAATCATTAGTGCATACTAAATGCTAAAATGAAGCTAAAAATAATGATATACCTATTAAATGTACACATATTGAAAATGGAGAAGAGAATAATGAATCGATAAAAATTATTAATAATTATTATTTCATCAATTAATTTACAGCATTGTAAATTCTATAGCTTGGCAAAGAAAGGTCGGGTAAAGCTGAGAGATGTCTCATTTTAATTAGAAATGTGCGGGCTACAATCATGCCTCGTTAAGAAAGGTTCAAGTTATATTTTAGAGTTTCTGAAAAACTGGTTTTCTAGAAAACCGGGTCTTCGAAGGACTAAGGGCAACCCCCATGGTCATATTCGTAATCTGCATTGTCGATAACCTATAACCCACTAGCTTCCGAGCAAAAAGCGTTTAATCACCTCGAAAGGCTCCCTCGTGAGTCGAATAATACATATTTTAAAATTTTTCATTTTTGTTGTGAAAATTTCAGTAATTTATTATTCGACGTAAAAATTAAACAAAAAAATTAAAACTATCGTGTAGGATAAAAAAGTCACTATCATCTATATAGTGATCAGAATAATCCATATAAAATGACAACATTGTAATCATTTTTCATAGTGCGATATACCAATGAGTAGATCTCTTCAATACCTATCATTCTCTATGTAAACCATTATCAGAAGTTGTTCCTAAGTGACGAAAACAATTAGAATACTAATCTATCACTGTGCCTAAAAATTTAAAATGATTATATTTTATGATCTGTAAGGTGGATTTAAACGGGAAACGGTTCCTTATAGATCAGTTATACATTCTAGATGGAAAAAAGAAAATTTTGAAAGTGACCGCTTCCTTAAGAAACCGTTTCCCATGCGCGGATATTTGGAAAAATTTTTGATAGTTCTAAGGTCAGTTCATCAATATTATCTATTGTTTAATGAAGGTGAAAGTGAATTATTAATGAAAGATGAATCAGTGATTTGGCAGATGACAATTCAATATTCTTGTTCCTACCAGTTCTTCTTAAGCTGTAGTTGAAAATCGTTTGATTTATGATAATAATTACTTTATGTCTATTGAATGAATTCAGCCAATATTATCTTCTTTACTTTTCTTCTCGTAGTTTGAATAGAAGAACAATTTCAATCACATTTTGTGTTAGCATGTGGTTTCTCATAATTAAGCTTTTCTTTTTTTAGCTTTCGTATATTTATTTATTTTTTTTTTTACATTAGTACTTTAATCCACACATGTTGTAACTATTTTGTGCAATTATTAACTTGCGCCACTAACGGGTAGTTAATCACTTGATGGTGCGCCGCTTCGGCTTCCCTAATAAAAGTTTAAAACAACATTGTGTTGTCAATAGCCATTCCAAAAACGTTTTGATTTGTCAGGACATTTATATCATCTGCAAGTGCATCAATGTCAGACGAACAGATGTCGCGTGCTTCTAACGATACCACGAAAAGAAAAATCAGGTTGATTGCTAACACAACTGATGAGGACAACAGAGAGTTTCACAATGCGAATGTAAACTGGAACAAAATAGAAACTCGAAAATGATTCATTTTGATTGGTTCCAGTTTGCTGTAATTATGCAAAGACTCCCTTTTTATTTTATTTTTCCATTTCCTCTTTCTTTGTCTGTTTATTTGTTTCTGAATTTATTTTTAATTTTCTATTTTATTTCTCTACCTTTACGTTTGTTTATGTTCAATTTCGTTCGATCCTGATATATACTAGATAACACTCATCTGCGATTCGCTGGACCCTTGACTTTAGTCGCGGTACGTATAGTGGTGGTCGCTCATTGCGTGAACAAATGCATGTCCATTGCTCACCTATCAGGCTGATAAAAGAAAGTACCCTTAGCTCATTTTTATCTCAAAATGTTGTTCATGTGTCTCACCCACTCTGACTGTTCTTCCCCATCTACTCTCACATGTGAGATAGCTCCCGGGTTAAAAACCCCGTGGTTGCATACCTCACGGACCCTATTCAGTGATGGAAGGAACTTTTGTATGTGATTCAGATAAAAGTAGGTGGAAAAATCATGGACTTTTCTTTTTTCAAATTTACAGTGCATATATATACTGTAACAATTCTTGCATTGCTAGAGAATGATCCATAAAATACCTATGACCATTTTTTTCTTGTTTAGCCGACAGACGGACAGAAAACTCATTTGTAAAACACTAGGCTAAAGTCAACAGAATGAAATATGGCTTCAGAAGATAGAATTTTCAGCGAGTGAAAATTTTTTTGCGTGATAGTAGAAAATTCGTTAAATAAACAATTTTCGGCGATTTCGTCGTGAAAAATGACTCAAAAGTACTGTGAATAATGTTTTTTCAATAAGCAGGGCGATGTTTATTTTACTAATTGATACTCCTATCCGCAGAAGTTTGAATAGGATTTGTGAATAAGACGACCAGAAAGAACTTTATGAATGATTTAGTGTCTTCGGAAACTCCATTAGCAATTTCTTCTATAATGTTTTATGCGCACGATAATGTAGAGTTAAAATGATAATAAGTAAAGGAGATCTCTGATAGCAAAACTTTAGTATTTTTCTAGTGGAAAAAGTTAGTAGACACGCTACTATGGCCAGTGATTTATCTAGGGTACGGACAGGGTGAGTGTCGTCCCGTCTGGAAAAGTCAGCAGCCGTCTCAGAATATTTATCTGTCCTCTCCGATAAATGAAATCTAGATAAACTACTGACTATGGTTTGCTGTTGACATGTGCCTTAGTTACTGATGCAAACTTACGGTAGGCTTTCAGTTTCACTTCAATCTACACTGTATTTGTTGTTACAAGCGATCATTCGTTTATTTTAGAAGTCTGAAAAGTGTTTGAGCGTAAATTTAGGGAAGAATGAATCCAAGCATGGAGCCACAAGCTTTTGGGGCGGGTCGCGCAGGTTCAATGTTTGATCCGATCGAATTTTTAAAGAAACCTCAAGTTATCCTACGCCTTGTTGCCTGGGTATGTAAAACATAGACTGACAGGCATCTGATTTAAATTCGATGCCTGAATTAAGCCTGACTTATTCCACATTTATAAAACAGACTAACGAGAGAATCTATGGAAGTGCCCTCTCTGATTCCAATGATTTATACATGGATCAATAGACCATAGTGAGGTAGTAAATACCCTAAAAGGATATTTGCCCATGTCTGTTGAAGACCCGGGTTTCTCGAAAACCAGTTTTTCAGAAACTAAAAAATAACCAATAGCTTTTCTTAATGAGGCAAGATTGTAGACCATTGTCAGCTCAAAGCTAAAGAAATAAGAAGAAATTAATTTAGAGTTTTTCTTGTAAATTCTTTAACTTTGCAAAGAAGGGTCCTGTAGAACTGAGAGATATCTCATTTTAATCAGAAATTTGCGGTCCACAATCTCGCCTCATTAAGAAAACGTTTGGGTTATTTTTTAGTTTCTGAAAAACTGGTTTTCGAGAAAACCGGGTTTCAGCAGTCATGGGAAAAAATCCTTTTAGGATATTTACTACCTCACTACGGTCTATCGATCCATGTATAAAGCATTGGAATCGGAGGGAGGGCATTTTCATAGGTTCCCTCGTAAGACACATCTTAGATAAAATAACTTAAGTCAAAGATTTCGTTTTGTCCCGGCTTAAGTTGGGCTTAAGATTTTTTGTTGTACACACCTCTAATTTTATTGCCATTTTTCTATCAAAAATAGGTATTTGCAATTATTGTATTCGCTTGCATCGCTCAGGTAATAACGAATTCTTTATGCATTAAACTTATAAAGGAAATGTTTCTTTTTCGCTTATTGTTCAGGAGGGATATGTATCTGGCACGTGTCGGTACAATGGATCGAACGCATGCGGTTTTGGTATTGCCATTGGAGTCATTTCTTTTTTACTTTGCATGGTGTATACTGCACTTGATATTTATTTTCCAAATTTATCTAATATTAATCATCGAAAATATGTTGTCTTATCTGAATTAATTGTATCAGGTATTGCGTTAAAAATCTTTCCAAATATACTGGTACGTGAAAACGTATGCTTCCTTTTCAGGTATATTTGTCTTCTTTTGGTTCATTGCATTTTGTTATATGGCTGATCAATGGCGTCAAGAAGACCAGAAAGCATTAACCGGCTGGAATGGACAAAACAGTGTTCAAGCTGCGATTGCATTTGCCTTTTTCTCAATTGCTGTTTGGGTAAGTTCGTCAGTTTCATGTCTGAAAGTCATTAACGGAGGGATGTCGTGTGGATCAATCATAAGTTCTCGGAACGGAAGCGTATATCTTCGAATAGCAGTTTTGTCGCTTGCTCCTTTGAATCTGGTTAAATCGAGATGATTCTAATTGAATATTTAGTGTACAACACTTTTCCATCGCAGTACATTTTACTTAATAAATAAATCTTTCTTTTTTCCATTCAAATTTGATGTGGTTTCTGTTTAGATTGCATTGGCCTTTTTTGCATTTCGTCGTTATCGTGAAGGTGTGTCAAACTTATTCAGTTCGAGCTATGAAGATCATACGAATAATCCGGCTGGTGGTCAAGCGGGTGCATCCTATCCTGGATTTCCAGGTGTTGGTGGTACAAGTTCAGGTAAGATTTGAGACCTGTATTTCTGAAGAATCGGTTTTAATTCACTTTATTTGTCTTCTAGGCTTTCAACAGCCTCCATTTACAGCAACACAACAAACATCAAACTATCAGCCACCAACATACTAAATGAGAGCAAATACTTGTTTCTATATGAATTCTTCGATCTGTCTTTTTTGTTATATGTTGTCTGCATACTCTTAGAAAACAACATGAATATTGTTGTTTGTGATGATTTTTGTTTTCTTAGTTGATCTCTCTTTCTTTCTCATTAATCATCCATGACATTATTCCATCTCGACAGTGATTTTTCTTTGAGCACAACTCTTCTTTCCTATGCTTTTTTTTGTAAACAAAAAGTTTTCGGTGTTATTGTAGTATCTCAACCATTGAATCTATTTACGATCTGTTTTCTTACAAAGCAACTTTTAAATTTTCTTTAAATACTAAATTTTTTAAAAAAATTAACAAAGCCCGGTTGTTTGAACAAAAGTTTTTCTATCCCACTTTCTTTTCCTAAAAACTATTTGAATCAAACAAAATCAATCTTGCAAAATTCCGCAAGGTCAGATCTGAGTGGTATTTTAAGCCAGAAGAATGAATTTTTGCTCTTTTGCCTATGAAATTTTTTCCGTTTTTTCGATTCGTTTTTTTTAACGGGATGCTTGATGTTTGTATTTCTCTCGTGCGCACGTTTGTTTCTATAATCCTTTTTTTTGTGTATTTATTATTGTATACTCATTTTTTTATGGTATAATGCATTCCTCGTTTGAAACTTAGCCCCCTTCGTATATTGTAATTTTTATTTCATTTTAATCTTCTTTTGAGGGGGAGCAAACTTGTTTCATCATTTATTTTTGACGTTGTTTGTTGAATTATTATTTGCCAATAAAATGAATGTTTATATAGTAGAAACACATCTTATATACCATGCAACCAAGACAACCGTAGTTTGGAGACAGAGAGAAAGAGTTCGGTGCAAGAAGTAAAACTGCTTCAGATGACAGTTATCTTCGAAGGCAACTGGAGCAATGTTGCATTGAATGGCTCTTCTAGACATGCTTTTGGATGTACGACAATGTTAAATTTTAGAAATAAAATAAAAAATGAGACCTGATTTGTGCAATGAAAATAATGATGAGTTGTCGGAAGGTCAAGGTGATGCTGACGAAGAGCTTGAAGACTACGGCACTGTTGAACAAGGTTACGAAGCGTTATTAGACGGATGTGAAAGGTAAAGTGTCCTTGTGTGCTCTAATTTTAACGGCATATAATGTTTATAACTACTCTCTTTAGTGTTGACGATAATGGACATACTGATTTATCAGATTACAATCGAAATGGCGATATTGATGATAATGATGAAGAGGAAGTGCGTATTAAACTCATTCTTTATGTATATGTGTCTATTCTCTATTTCGTTTACCTTAGGTTGATCAAAAAGAGGAAATAGTAAAAGAAGAAATTGATGATGGGCTTCCAAAAGCATTCTGTTGCAAAATATGTTCAGCATCATATTCCAAATTTGAACTTTACTGCGATCATTTTATTTCCGTCTCACACCGATATAAGCGCCGTGATGCTAAAAAGCAACAGCAAGTAAAGTTGAACTAGTTTGCATGATAAATTATTATTTGGAGACATTTAGACATTTGTTTTTATCTAGGATGGACTGATTGAAACTGAACCGGTCGAAACATTCGTTAATATATGTATATTTAATAAAGTGAGCATACTTCTTGTTAAGTTAGAATAAATTATCAGCTTTCTCTCTCTTATTTCTTTGCTGATCAATATGCTTCTAAAAAGCCTGTTTCTTTTCGTTTAGCTTCCATTAGAGAGTGTTCAGTTTATAGTTGATGAAGTAGATTCACTTTCAAATAGCTATAGTGGGTCTCTTTTATACAATGATTTAAAATTTTCGACAAAAGAAAATGTTTCGTCGTTAAACAGTTTATATCAAGAACTTTGTCGATTATTTAATGAAAGTCGAGAAATAAAATTACGTTTACCACCACAGAGTTTTTATGTTGCTCGAGGTTTGTGATCAGTATACAACAACTCTCGTTTATATCATAGAAAAATTATTATTGGTCATTTAGATGTTTCACGAAAAGATGATTCAATATGGACCGTTTCACGTTATTGTGATGATACTGGAAAATCTGACGAACAAGTCGTTAAAGTAGAAAACGTTAATTATCATTTAATAGATGAATATATTTTTGCTCTTTTAAGGAAGTTCTTGATTATTGTGTTTTTTCACAAGTTGAAACAGAACGAGAACGAATGTTGGCACATAGTATCAAAACATGGCGAATGTTTCATCGCAATGAAAAACGACCGGGGTTTTGGTTAGTTTCGCAATTTATACACAAACTAAATGATTTTTCTTTCTAATTTCACTTGAACTTATAAAATATTGTAAGAGACAGTATAATTAATATATTCGTTAACATGGTACATTTTGTTCCAGTTTGCTCCTTTAAAATACGCTGGCAAAATTCTTCATAACACTGTCTTTCTTTGGAAATGTTATTATTGCCTTTTCTAGGTGCGATATATGTAAACAATGTTTTCGGAAACGGAAAGGAATTTTGAGTGTAAGATATATTCATCAATTGGTTAATTTCATACAGTGGAAGACGTATCATTAATTTATTGTTGTTTTAGCATTTTGAAACGAGTGATAAACATGAAACGAATAGTAAATTTCTGCCACGTTTTCGTCGAGCTATCCAACATGTAAGTTGCTCGAAATATTAACATGTAGTTTTCAAAACGCCAGTAACATCATCTGAAAGTGAAAACAGTCTTCATGTACCAGAAAATTAATGTTTTGATTTGATATGAAACTTTAATAAATGTGTTTGTTAAAAGTAGATGAAATCACTTCTAAGCTAATGAGTAGCATGCTATACTGAAGCTGTTTTGTCATTTTATAATGATACACACGTATTTATTCATTTATTTTAGAGTTTAGTGACTGGTCGTTTATTGAATGAAATTTTGGATGCAAAAACATTAGAATATCATCAGCAACTAATTCAAAGTTATCGATTACCACCAAATCACTGTCAGTTAAAAAATGCGTATTATTGCACATGTAAGATATTCGTTTATCTAATCAACTTTTCACTTCTCACAGATTACATAATTTTTGTTTATTTTAGTTTGTAATCGGTCGTTTCCAGATTTGTGTTCATTGGAAAAAGTATGTTTACAAAAGGATCTGGTTAAACTACTTAAATATGCGGTCAATTTTCTTTTCAGCATATTATTTGGAAAGGACATCGACAATGTTTGAGAGCAAGACGATATCGGGATGTTGATAATTTACTTCGTTTAGCGGTAAATAGAGATTCTCTGTTGCTTTGAAAATACTTTATTCTATATGCGACTATTTGATTTTGTAGAGTTATTTAAATTTTACACAATTGTCAAAAGAGCAGAAACGTGTTGGTATGAAAAAGATGATCAAAGCGCCAGATGATTACAGAAAAGCATACAATCTTGAACCGATAACCGTTGATATAATTCGCGAAGATGTGATAAAATTTGATATGAATCTGGCTCAGACACTTCGTCAGCAGAATAACAACAAAAATCAACAACACCCTCAACATCAAAACGGTTATACGAATCAATATCAGGGAAACAGGCAAACAAATTATCGTGGTCGTGGTCGACAACAACAGCAACAGCAGCAACAACGTAGAGGTGTTTGGAATAATTATCATCAAAATCGAAATTTTTCATCAAGTAAATGTTTTTCAGTTGCTCAAATCTAAAAAAAAAGGAGCGTAACGACGACGAATGTTGATCTTTTTCTCTCTAGATAATGTACGACAAAATGGTAATTCATTTCAGTATCATGGTAACAACATACAACCGTTGTTTATTAACCAGTCACCATCCTATAGTAACCATTATAATACCACAAATAACGATGGACCCTTTAATCATTTTTCAAATTCAACCACACAATATTCAAGTAAATAACGTTTATGATTTTCTAAGCACATGATGTTTTTATAATTAGCGTCTAAATATCAGCCATGTGACTGTGCGCTTTTAATAGTCATCAGCAGTACTAAATCGATAGAATACCGTCAGACGACAGTTATCTTACTTATAGTTACTTCTTCTGAGCAGATAATGGTAAGCTTTGGTACTATGATGGGGGATGGTAGCGTAGCCAGTGGCTACGCCTCTAATAGAGAAATATATAAGCCTGTTCACACTTGGACATTAACGTCATTTCATAATATTAATAAATTTTTTAGCTAACAACACTATGAGTCACAATGGATTTAAACGTCAAAATGACAATAATAATGGCCAATCGTGGAAAAAACCACGTTATGATAATAATACGTTTTCTTCATTCAATCATGGTTCCTTTCCACAACAACAACCACCACAGCAACAACGAAATTGTTTTCCTCAAACGCAGACACCGTTATCAGCTCGTGTTGATTATCGCTATATAGCGAATAAAAATATTCAGCAAGAATACCATTCAACTGGAAACATTTCGCAGCAACTAAAACCATCTTTCTAATGACTTCCAAAGCAATTTATATCAAAAATATTAAATCAATGGCTTTCACTAACCACATAATTACTTGTTGGTTTAACAGTGATAATTTTTACTTAATGTTCTTGTTTTTTCTCAGGGAAAGGTATCTTCCATTTTGTGATAATAATTGTTATTTTCTTTTGGTGATTGTTGTTACTTTGATATAAACTTAGGAGGTTACGTGTTATTGTTGATTTTTGTTGCATTCAATTCGCGTTTTTTTGTATTTCAAAAAAATCAGTAGTTTTGATTTGATGCTTTGAGTGATACATACTTTTTTGCTCAAGATATACAGTTAAACGCTTGTTATTAGAATTAAAAAAAATAAAATAAGAATACATTACCATGCAGTAGAGTTAAGAAATATGACAAAGTATCATATACTCGATCGGAGAAGGAAATACATTACGATGATCATACTGTTGCGTGTTACACATATTTTAGAAGAACATTTTCAAAATCCACGATTTGCATTGTTTTCCCATCTAAATCTACTTCGATAGTAATGCAAATTCTTCATCCAATTAAAAAGCAGTGTCAGTACCGTAAAAATTAGTTAATGTCTATCTTGCCAAAATAGATAATGAAGTTGACAGAACTATTCGCTTGTAAACATCTGTTATCTATTTTTTATTTTGTCTTTTTTTGCCATTTTATTCGGTAAGAGAAAAACAAGAAACATATTAGCAAAAATTTCTATAACAATAAATAAAAACAAAAAAAACAAAGAAAAACAACAATATTTATCGAAGCTTCGAAAGAACAACGACAATAACACTACATTTCTATATATCTGCGTAATTGAAAGTAAAACGACACAAGGAGAAGAAAGAAGATTAATCCACTATCTTATTATAGAAGCGCGTGCATTTTTTTTTTTTGTTGCCAAAGAAGGAAGCAGGAGCGCTGACACATAAAAAACAAGCAACAAATACAAAAAAATATACATAATAGTATACAAAAAAAAGTGATGGTGACTAACACGGCCCGGAAATAACATCTGACTTCTTCTTAACAGTGAAAAATAAGTATATCGGACGATGTTTTCGTTTCGAACCTTGACCGAACTGACGATGTTTTTTTCAGTCTTTCAAACAATGAAAATCCGTTTATAGATCATCTTCGTTGTGTCCACCAGATGGTGGTGGTGGTGATTCTCCGCCAGGACCTCCTGGACCACCACCTTGACCGTATAATTTGGTCATAATAGGTGTTACAATTTCTTCAAGTTGTTTTTTATGTTCTTTCAATTCTTCAACTTCAGCTTGTTGATTCGCTTCTATCCATTTAATTTGTTCATCTACAGCTTTTTCAATTGTTTCTTTATCTTCTGTTGATAATTTTCCACCTAATTTTTCTTTATCTGCCAGTTGAGTTTTCAATGAATAGGCATATGACTCTAATTCGTTCTTAGCATCAACACGATCTATAAATAAACACAAAAATAAATGGATGATTATTGTACGTGATATACAAAAAATTATTTACTTACCTTTAACTTTTTTATCTTCATCAGCAAATTTTTCTGAATCTTTAATCATACGTTCAATCTCGTCTGGTGACAAACGATTTGTGTTTGAATTGATGACAATATTATTTTTATTGCCCGTTCCCTTATCTTCAGCCGTTACTTTTAAGATACCATTGACATCAATTTCAAATGTAACTTCAATTTGTGGGACACCACCTAGCAAAATAAAACATAAGTTTGATGAATAAATGAGGCAATACTTTCAAACTTACGAGGAGAAGGTGGAATGCCAGTCAAATCAAATTTGCCAAGAACATGGTTGTCTTTTGTCATTGGTCGTTCACCTTCAAATACCTGAAATAGCAAAAGATATAAGTTCGTTTGAATAAAAGATGCGCGCTAGTTGTGCTTACTTGAATGGTAACTGTAGGTTGATTATCAGCAGCAGTCGAAAATATTTGTGATTTTTTCGTCGGTATAACCTATAGAGGAGATAAATATAAGGTTGCTGACAACACTAGTATTATCGAAAACTTACTGTGTTTCGTGGAATAATTTTTGTCATAACACCACCAACAGTTTCAATACCCATTGTCAATGGATTAACATCCAACAGCACTAAATCACCTGTATTTTCTTCGCCTGATAGAACACCAGCTTGTACAGCAGCACCATAAGCTAAATGACAACAAAAAGAAATAAATATCTCTAAGCCTTTTTCAACAAAATCATCTCACTCACCAACAGCTTCATCGGGATTAATACCACGTGATGGTTCTTTACCATCAAAAAATTCTTTGACAAGTTGTTGTACTTTCGGTATTCGGGTGCTACCACCAACCAAAACAACTTCAACAATATCACTTTTTTTCATATCAGCATCGTCCAAAACTTTTTGTACTGGTTTCATTGTTGAACGAAATAGATCCATGTTTAATTCTTCAAATTTGGCACGTGACAATGTTTCTGAGAAATCTTCATTATCAAAAAATGATTCAATTTCAATTTTTGTTTGATGTTGACTTGACAATGTTCGTTTAGCCTTTTCAACTTCACGACGTAATTTTTGTACAGCACGATTATCCTTACGTACATCTTTGCCTGTTTTCTTTTTAAATAATTTAATAAAATGTTCCATAACACGTTGATCAAAATCTTCACCACCTTAAAAAGGAAAAAAAAGAATCATAAATAACTGAAATTAATTGACAATAAATAAAGTAATCATACCTAAATGAGTATCACCATTAGTTGCAACAACTTCAAATACACCATTATCGATCGTTAATAACGAGACATCAAATGTACCACCTCCCAAATCAAAAACTAAGATATTCTTTTCGCCTTCTTTTTTGTCTAATCCATAAGCAATGGCAGCAGCTGTTGGTTCGTTGATTATTCTCATTACATTCAGACCAGAAATTGTTCCAGCATCCTTTGTAGCCTAGAAATAAATTGTAAAAACTAGTTTTCTGTCTAAACACTCAAATTCTCTTGTCATCATCTACAAGACAGGGCAAAGATGGGAAGAAATATGTTTTTACCTGTCGTTGAGCATCGTTGAAATAAGCCGGTACTGTGACAACAGCGTGCGTAACTTTTTTTCCCAAATATTCTTCGGCAATTTCACGCATTTTTCCTAACACCATAGCACTAATTTCTTCGGGAGCAAATATTTTCGCATCGTTGCCTAGAAAAATAGAAAAACGATTATCAATCTACTTAGTTTTTATCAGGTCATTTCTTGAACTTACCAGACATTATTTTAATGGAAGGTTTACTATTCTTTTCAACAACTTGAAATGGAAAATGTTTGATATCGTGTTGTACTGTTGGATCACTGTATTCTCTTCCAATTAAACGTTTGACGTCAAAAACTGTATTTTCTGGATTTGATGTTAACTGATTTTTGGCTGCATCACCGATTAAACGTTCACCATCGGCTGTAAATGCAACATATGATGGAGTAATACGATTTCCTTGATCATTGGCAATAATTTCCACACGACCATTTTTAAAAATGCCGACGCAAGAATATGTTGTTCCAAGATCAATTCCTATAACAGTTCCAACATCTTCTTTTTTCTTTCCACTATCTTCTTTCGCCAAAATGAGAGTGGTTGATAGACACACGAAAAGAATTAATAATTTCAACATTTTTATTTAACACTACAACAGAATAAACAGTATTAGCTTTATGAATATAATCGACTGTAGCTTTCAAAGTAGCAGCAAACGAAAATATCGAGTATTCATTCAGATTTCTAGTCAAAAGACTTTTACAAAGAAAAAGATGTAGTTCGATGGCATTCTTACCTCTTTTTTATTTTTCAATGTTAGTACGATAAATGTTCGTTAACAAGATTGACAAATAATAATTTTAAATTAAACTAAAAGTACAATTCACTTAATAATAGTAATTTTAACTATTGAAGTAGCGCGTAAAAGTTATAATAAAGAATAATTTTGATCGTATGAATGTCTTTTATTTATATAAACAATTATCGTTAGTAGGATGCGACGCGTGTATTCAAATTGAGTGGAAATTGAAAGTCAAACGTGTATAAATTCTAATGCAATGTCTCGTGGAGTTTAGTCATTGGAGAAACAGACCTATGTTGGATATGTAAGCTCGTGATTGGTTCACGTTTATAACGAATGTAATATACCCAATGCATATAGACATGATAAAAACCGTTGTTTTCTCTTAGCTCCTAATAGCAGTAGCTCTTATTAGGAGCTAAAAGGAATAACTCTTATTAGGAGTTAAATAAAAAGGAAATGTGATAAATTCCTAGCTGCAAATACGAAAAATATGGAAAAGGTGTAGAAAAAAATGACTGACAAAAAGGCATACACATTTTAGATAGAATTGTAGTTTCTTTTAAGTATATTTAAAACACCTGAATCTATAGAAACTATTCTATTAGATTGATGTAAATCAGAGGGTGTAGTTAGTGACGTCTATGGCTTATTCCATTCGTCATGCCATGTTGTACCAGTTCTGGAAGACATCAACTCAAGTGATTTCTTCAAATTTGAAGTGCTGATAAGGTTTTCCTTAAACTCAATTTATCTTCCTTGATCGCAAAAAAAGCAACCGTGTTAAAAATTCAAGATCAACTAAGTTTGCGAAATTGCTCTTGTTGAAATTTTTTTGATGGCGTCCTATTTTTCCGATGCACAGAAAAGATGTTTGTTCTTGGAAAACTTGAAATTTAACAAAGGACTTCAGAACACTTCGTAAGGCATATCCTCTTCACTGGATCAAGTCTCAAAGACGATATTTAGAATGAAGGAAAACAGATCTTTTTTACTTCTATAAATTCTTTTCAATAAAAACGTGTTTGATTGTGATTTTCGGTCGACAAAATACCGCACTCAGACTATAGTTGAGGAAAAAATTTCTGTAGGCTGATGTACAAGAATTTCCTGGAAAGATAACAAAAAATCTTTTATGAAAAAATTGTGGCCGAATCAATGATTCCGCAGTTGGATCATACAGAACTTGATAGAATTTTAACTCCTTGATTGCTAGCTTGAGTAGTCTTCACATTTTGACTATTGCTCTCCCTTTACTCTTAATCGCATTTAACACTTGTTACATCATGTTTTACTCAGATTTTTCTTGTAGAACATAGTACATTCACGGCAGTGCACAGCAATTTTCAAATTTATCGTGTGTCTCACAGCAACAATCTGAAATTCTGTGCAGGCTATGCTTGAGTTGAACTACTGTGTTTTCATTGCTTGTTCTTTCTAAAGTTTCCTATAGCTGTAATAGGTTTTGTGGAATTTGTTTTTATCTCACATATCTCTTAGTTCACTCGCATATTGCTCATTTCGTGATAAAAGTCAAACTTGAATATCTATTCCTTACTTTTGCGCATTTTTATTTTGAGATATTTGCACAATCAACATGTTAATCTGACGTATTGTAGTTTTTAGATTCGGTACATTTTCGCAGAAAGAAAATCTTTTTTTGAGCCCAAAACTGATTAAGAAAGAACTTTGTGACAAGAAGGTAGAAAAGTTTCTCTTCGCAACTTCCTCACACTCTTTAATATTGCTACGTACTTGTACTTACTTTTTTGCAGTAATTCTACATTAATCAACATTATCAACGTTTCTCATTTGGCCACTACAATAAATATACCATTCGATAGAAAATTTGTCGAGCTACAATTTGGTATATATAACATAGAGAAAAAAGTGTCCTAGAGCATCTTGATATTAGAAATGTTTCTGCAAAGCCAGAATTCTGCTCGTAAGTCTCAATTTTCTCCATCAGAATTCAACTTTTATGCAATAAAAATATCATAATTCGAGAAGGCGAATGGGCTGTTACTATGGGGTTTCCACCGGCGTGCAGCCATGACTACGTTACGGCGAAATAAACTTCGGACTATTCATGTAGATCGCTGGAATATCATCTAACAGTTTTGGGAAACTCTGTTGAATTTTTTCGATTGAAATTCGCTAATTTTTTAGCCAATGATCTGTGCTACAAAGTCACAAAAGTCGTAGATATGTCCGATAGTCAAAACTTTGTTTTCATCTCACTGGTGTGTGTGTGTGTCATTCCACGTGTCATCTCATTGAGCATTCAACGCTCGAAGATTGGCTCTTGTGTTGAGTGTTGATAATAATCGTAAAACTGAACAAATTTTGAACAGAATTCGAAGGTATTTCAATAATTGTTAGATCTAAATCAGGACGCATTTTTGTAATAAATTTTCGTAAACCATTTTTAAAAATTTTTGCTACTATTATGAATTTATGATACTTTAATAAAAATTTTGTTTTTTCTCCTCAGCATTGTCAAAGTGTCCATTACAATAGACTACCATTTGCTCGATTGATGTATTGACAATGTAGTCGTTATTTATGGTTATTCGCATAATATTTTCTAACTCATCATGTAATAAGAGTGTGGATGCACCAAATCCTATGGCTTTATCAAATCCAAACCCTAAATAAGACTTTATGTCACCCTAAATAAGAGATAAGTAGAGCAAATGTGAAGTGTTCGATGGATCATGTCTGTAATTACTGAACATTTACGTGATAACGGAATATATGATTCCCACTTCATAATAAGGCCGGTATAAGTATTTTCTCGATAGACTAGATTAATTGAAACGTTGAGAATATCTTGAAATGAAGTAATTAGATAAAATTAACACAATTTATTTTCAATGAATTCCGCTGTTATCATCAAAAAGTGTTCATAGGCAATAGATTGATTTTTACTATAATTTGAGACGTTTTCTTTTCAAATATTTGTCAAACTCACACAAACAGATTGATAGCGACAAATATCTAATATTAATTGTTGAGAACTATACTTCTTGCAGAGTGCATGACACGCTCCGATTCTTCGGCAACATTCAAACTACAAATAGTGATGTGTATGACTTTTTTCATTAGTAAACAGTATTTTTAACAGTCAGAAGCACCAACTCTTATCGCGTCTTCTTCAATCGCTGGACATTATCTGAGAAAAAATGGCACTGAAAACATTTACTATCAGCGAGTATCAACATTATTATAAACGATAAAACGAAATTATATGCGACAAAACTTATTTGTGCATCGAAATATTCCGAAAGATCTCAATTTCAACATTAGTCATCAACAAAAACACATCAACAATTATTTAATATATTTCGAATAAATTATATTTTATCATTCAGATTTTTATTGAGTTCAAGTTGTTTTTCCTATACATGAATATTATTATCAATCAATACATACAATTAAAGAGTAAAATAATGTATTTAACAAAGATTGATAGAAGAATGATTGACAAATGACATCGAAATATTTTTGTATTAAAATATTAAAAAATTGTATAAAAGAGATACAAAAAAATAGAAACGTAGATACCACATTATAAACGAGATTTTTTTTAAAATCAAAATCAGATTTTCGTAGAATTTGAGCCATTTTTTATTATTGATAATGGATTGAATGTAGATGTAAAAATCACTCGACACCTTGTGCAAGTAATATATTCTCATCACCAATAGGAGTGTAATATGCATCGTATAAATGTGAATACATAACTGAAAGGAATTAAACAAATAAAAAGTCTAGTAACATTGCATTCTTAGTTCTTCTTACTTAAATCACCATGATTGAGTAGAACAGGAAGTGATTGACAAAGTTTCGAACATGGATCACGTGCACGCAGCAAAATTTTCGATGAACCTTGTATTTGAGCTAGCCAAATCCATGCAAAATCCATTGGAATCTAAAGATATAGATATTTAATAGTTCACTTGAACGTTGATGAATATATCCTCGAAGACGAATATGCAGACCTTATTTAAAGTTTTCTTCTCATAATGTTGTGAAACAAAAAACCAACTTCCTATTTGAGTAAGTGCCATAGATGGTGGTAAAAAATAAGGCTTTGAATAATAGGAACGAATTATTTTTATCGCTTCTTTTTCACAATTACTCCTTTGAATAACAAAAAAAAACAAAATGTAGAGAAATAGATAAATGTGTGATACGGATAATAAAAACAATTAATAATCAGTAAAAGAAAGCTGATCTGTTGAAATTATATATATATTTATTTTTATCACAAAAGCAGTATTGAGTCGAGACTTTATTATCATTAATCTTTGATTTGTAGAACGAAAAACGTTTCAAATTAGAATTTACCAATGAGCAATAAATGAATGCCGTTGATGTTGCAATATTTCTTTCATCAATTTGTCCACTGCGCCACGTTGATGTTTATAATTGACGTTAGCATCAAAAGAACATAAATCCAATTTTGATAATATTGGATGTTGAAGATAAAGCTTGAATTAAAATAAATTGTCAATATTAACAATAAAAAAAAATATAGTATTCTTACAGTGAATAAACTTTTCAAATTTAATTGTTTTATTGCTTTCCATGATGTGGTGGCATCTTGAACGATAACTGGTCTCTGTTTTAAATAGATACTTTTTGTAAAATTAACGAAACTTAATTGTGTTTCCACAGACACGCTCGTCACATTTACGCATTCCTATGTAGAGTGAAAACTTATTTAAACGGTTAAATAGCTCAAATTCGTTTTACTTACATTACATTCAGTATCTGTTAATGTATTATTGAAAAACGGATTCGATATGAAACATGGACTGTAATAAATTTGACTCCAATCATAAAACGGTTCAATCTATTCGAAAAAAATAAGAAGCAAGAGATCAATACTTGGATTAGTAAAAAGATTGGTTACCTTAATTAGTGCATGTCGACAAATGAACAGAAATCCAAAATAGACGTTGTAAATAAAATCGTTTGATATTAGATTATATGCAATGAGAATGATTAACAGTACAATGCTACATTTGCACAAACGTTTTTTCCATTTTGTCCTGGTTATATAAGATTCAATACGATTTAAGTCATTAGCTATATGGGGATTAAATTGAACTTTTTCGACTAAGCCCACTAATTCGTCGAAATATGTTTCAACAGTATTTAATTTCATTTAAATTCTTCTTTAAACCGAAACCATGTCAAATTATCGTCTATCTCATACACAATAAGATCTCCATTATTGATAGATAATATTCACTGAGTTCTATATCTTTCTACTGCATCTCGGAATTCTAAAAATAGATGCAGCGATAAAGAATTTCAATTGCAACAATAGAAGACTTCTTCCATTAACCTATAATTTTCATCTGAATTGAACACCTTTTCTCCTATATATCAACGAAAACAACAAATTTAAATACCATAACTTTCAAATCAGAAGTCCGCAGAGTCACATCTCAATGCTATTGACAGTCCAATATCATACGTAGATAGCTTCTCAATAAGTATTAAAAAAACCAAATTACGGATCCAAACCAGATCCCCTGGTTAAAAAGCTAGGTTTCGCCTTAAAATATTGATTTTGAGATTTATACATAGTCAGATAGCCTAAAATGTTTACTTTCAGAACCTGTATCTTTTTCTATCACAAATAATGAGTAGGCCATAAAGAATGGCGTCTCAGTATTTTGTGAATACCTTCACTCAATTTCCATTATCAAGGGTTCAACTTTTTTAAAAGATTTGCGATTTTAATCTCTAAAAAAATTCTCTAAAAAAAACATTTTTTTATGTTTCGTAGAAACAAAAGAATGTTGGTGAAATACTGAGGAATTTCAATTTCCATTACTTTCAAACTAAAAACACAACAAAAAGATATTTATTTTGAACATGATACTATGCAACAAAGTAGAATCAAAACGGATGTTCTGGTGGCTCGAAGTGTCATCTATCTTTTCATATATCAGAAGTTGACTTTGAACGTGTTTTTCTGATACAAAAGGCAATTTTTACTACAGTCTACCAAAAAAAACTGAAAATTTTCACCTTTTCATCTGGTCAGTGGAAAGGAAATGGAGCTATCGAACCTTCTCTGTTCGGATGTAACAGAAGAATTATTTTTCTTTAAGATAAGACATATCAGACCTCAAAATATTTGATTTTGGCTGATTTATAAAAATTTTCTCAAATGCCACCCAAACTGCAGTTTGGAAACAGTGATTTTTGACAAAATCGATATGAGCAAAACCTTCTTCCGCAACGAATTGCGATTAAAAGGAGCTTTAAACATAGCCAGTTGATAGAACTTTTCAAGGGCTATAAAACGCCATCTTCTCCTATTCTGTATCGTAAAATACAAAGAACTAGAATTAAAAAACTGTTTTGGGGTTTTGAAAGCAATGGAAATTGAAGCGTCAGAGTATTTCACCTATATTCTTTATTTCGACGGTATATAAAAAAATGTTTAATATGTTTTTTTGTAGAGAATGAAACAATGAATGTTTTTAAAAAATGCTGAAGCCTTGACAATGAAAATTGAGCAAGATATTTGCGGAATACTGAGACCACCAATGTTTATGGCCACCTGTTATAAATTTTCATAGTTTTAAAGGAAGTTTTTTGAAATCTCCGAAAGTAAAATACTCGAATTCTAGTTTCATCCATACTTATGCAGTTAAACTATTTCCTGAACGTGTAGATTTGTAATCAACGTTTTCTGGTCAAAATGAGACATAGCATAACTATGTGGTGTCTTAGCTACATTTTGAGACCACATCGAGCTTTTTAGTACTTAAAATCGTGGAGAAATCTTTGATTTGTTTGTAGAGAAATACTTGTCATTTTTTAACAGACTTGTCGCTTCAACTTAACACTGTCGGATTTTTGATTTTCGATATAGTTCTTGAGAAAAATGAAGTTTTTCTAAAATTAAGCTGTAACTGTTTTTCAACTTTTTTCATACAAACTTTGCGTAAACTAAAAAATACTTTTAAAATCTGGTTCTTTTAAGTTGTAGCGCCAAGTCTTGGCTACAACCAGAGACCACCCTTTTTAGCACTTAGAAATAGGAGAGAAATTATTGTCATACGAATACCTACTTTTTAATCCTTATTTTTGTAATAACTCCGAGAAATGTCAACATTTCCAGCTCAAAACCTTCCTTCTAGGATAACACACATTCCTCAAAAGTTTTATAAAACTCTGTTGCTCTAAGACGAAAATAGGCTTCTGAGAGAGGGACTCTTAAGATTATTCATAAAATCATACCATGTAGCTGTTGTTTATCTCAAAGAAAACATCAAAATTTGAAATATATTTAGACATTCTATTGTTTCAACTGCCTATCGCGTAGTGCGCATATAAAAGACAGTTGTATTTTCATATTTTTCGTATTCTTCACCATACAACTGCTATTATGCAACAAAGGAAAAAGGAAAGCGTACAAATGAAACGTCTCTGCAGGGTAAAATAAGAGATGTTGTCGTTTTTGTTGAGCAAAAATATGCACCATTGGTCCTTAAAAAAAGAAGTAATATACACATACATTAACGGAAAAATATTTTCTCATTTCCTTATTTTCTTGGGCAAATGACAAAACAGACGAATAAGTATACAAAGACACAACATTGTAAAAGAGAATAATAACAACAATAAATGAACAAACTATTCTAACAGCGAACTCTTTTGTACGATCGGTAAAAAAAGAAAAAGTTTTGCTCATACAAAATTTTTTTTGTTCCCATTTAAGATAAAATGAGCTCACACACACATTCACAAAACACCGGATAATTTATCGCGAGAAAAAAAAGACATTTAAATGTTCAAAATCACACATATCAAAGTTGAGTTACCATAAATCTTGATATTACAAACTGTTTAGGGCAGAAAAATGCACGTATACACACTTGTGAAAGATCAATTGTAATAAAATCATTTTAGAAAAAAAGAGCTTAATATGCAGTGTGAAAAAATTAAGTGAAAATCAAAGGTTGTTTAATAAATGGAAGGGGCATGAGGTGTTTAAAAGATTTATGATAAAAATGATGTTTCTTCTGTTTTCTATTTTTAAACAAAAATAGTATACATCATTTAAATAAAATTTTGCGATTGAATGTACGATTTAAATAAGACGTCTTTTCAATCCATTACCTTACACGTACAACGCACCGTTTACAATAAACGAAAGTTTATGGACAATGTCATTCATCATATTTCCATCGAAAATAGATCGTCGCCCTCTATAAAGAAATAGAAAAAACGATAGGTTCATTACTCTTATAAACGAAAGATAGATAGATATTTCGAATATTCTTAAACTCTTATGGTTTCTAGATTCAAAGCCAACATGCTCTTATTCGTTTTCTATGAAGTACATAGAAATATTTCAGAGATAACACACTATTTTTAAATGAAAATACCTTTTTTTGGCTTTGAACCAGTTGTCTCTTTTGTTTCTTTCTGTTGTTGTTGTTGTTGAGCTGTATTAACATTTGTATTATCACTGACGCTACTGTTATTTTTATTGTTTCTAGACAAAGGTGATGTTGCCAATGGTGATGCTGCTTTTTTGTTGATACCAATTGTTCCATTTTGTAGAGTTCCACTTCCAGTAGGGTCTGGAATTAATGTTACTTCAGGTATATAGGGTAAATTCACTGGAGGGCTACGAGTCAATGGACTATCACGTCGTGATAGTAAAAATTGACGATCATAATAAATTCTTGTGCCACCTGGCGTTGTAGAAAAGATACTTCCACCCGGAGTTGTACCGTATGATAAGGGTATTTCAGTTGGATCATGGACAGCTACACGTCGAATTGAAATACTTTCAGTCATCTTGAGAAGTAGAACCGATTACAAAAGATAATCTATAAAATAAGAGTGAAATAGACTACCTTTGCCATACACTCTCTATAGATAACTTTTTTTGATCTGTCGAGCTACTTCAACTACTACAAGAGATCAACAATGACTTTCTATAATCAATTTCACTTTACTTCATCAAGCAAAAACAACGTTAAATTTCTTATATTTGTACTACGCCGGACAAATATAGATGTAGTAAAAACACCCCAAAATATAGAATATTTTATGAATATCAGAACAAATACAAATACGAGAGAGAGCACGTGCTATCTACGTACTTTGAGTGCGTTATAATAAATCTTGTTCTTCGTAGTTCCACGATCCACCATTAATCACAGGATTTGATTGGAACTAGAAATTTACATACAAACAGTAACGTTCGACAGATGTCATTGTCTCGCATAAATCATTCTGCCTATATTCAGAAAGAAATTTCGTCACTCTGCTTCATTGAACTGAGACGGGAAAAAAAAGTGTTGTTTGTTTTTAAAATATTCTTAAACTGCTAGCAATAGATCTCGTTAAAAATAGAAACTCAGGTGGTCTACAGGGGTGTCATAATCCTGTTACATTCCCACGTCAAACAAATCGTATACGATCGTATCTAAATCACACAAAATCGTATGAAAATCATATATGAATCATGGCATTTGATTTGTCCTCTGGATCGTATAATAGGATCGTACAACTTCGTACGAAATCGTATAGTACGAGCCCGATGACAAATCAGACACCATGATTCATATGTAAATCGTACATAATCGTATATGATTTCATACGATTCGTATACGATCGGATAGTCTGATTCAATCATCTGGATTGACGACTAGCACAGGGCCGAGTTTTCCGAAACAAAGTTTCATTCTTCTAATACAATGATTTGTTTAGTTTTACACTATTCCGAGACTTTAATTCACCAGACCAAGTGATTACACGTGTTCAGATGTCCATCTTTTTGCTCCTAGAAAAATCGTTTCTACGCAGTTAGTTTCGACATCGAGTTTTGCGTACACATTTTTCACTAATAAACAAACACACAACAAAAAATAAATAACAAAAATGTCACAAGCAAATAAGACGAAATCCGCACAATTAATTCATACTTTAGTATTTGGCTGCCAACGTATTTTTCGTTGAAACCAATTGATCAATTTATCTGGACAATATTTGTGAGCTATCGTGGATGGTATACATTCTCTGTCATCATTTGTTGATGGTAATGATGTATCAGGAACATATCGTACAGCATAAAATAAACCATTATCATTCGTTCTGCTTGCACCTAAAACTTCCTTTACTACACGGCCCTTTTCAATTTCATATAATTTATCGTCATTTTTCACATTCATTGTTGTTGATGTTATTGTTTTCTTCTCAGTTGCAATCTTTTTCGGAGTCAAGATTTTTCTTGCTTTTTCGTCTTTCGGCAACGCGGTTTTCTTTTCTTTTGGCAAACATATTTTCGTTGTTTCTCCTGGCTCGTTTGATGAGGACACTGTTGGTGTCGTTGGTGCTCTTCTTTCTTGCGATTGTGACTGTCCGTCATCATAAATACTTGAATGCGATTCTGTGATGAGCGTTCTGTTTG